TCCGGGAATCACGCAATAATTTTTCACATGGCGCATAAAATTTCTCACAGCGCGTCCTCATCGGCGCATCCTATGGAAAGACTTCATTCAAATCATATCACCAGAATCTAACATATATTCCTCACCTGATAAGGATGAGTTTTAGCTGTGTGTGAATTCTTTTCCAGGCCGTAACGCTGCTCCATCATCTCCATGACTGCATGCAGTCGCCCGGGTTGAAGGTCTGCGGTGGTACTGGCGCTGCCTTTTCTGCGGTGATAGCGACGGGCCCACTGGACGGTCATCTGTTGTCAACGTTTATACCTCGGGTTGAGGAGAGATCTGCGCTGACATCACCATAGCTGAGACCGGTCGTTGTTTGGGATAAACCTCTGGGATGATTATCGGTTGATCATCGTAGAGTCCCTGTTCCGTCATCGGGACAATCGCGGTAGAGAAAGTCCTTGTAGACTGCGCAGACGTCCCCGTAGAGTTGGTCGTCATCTGAGGGGTGTGTAGCCTTCTCTGGATAGAGGATGGCTTCTATTCAACGTCTGCGATGATTGTAGAGCTTCCCTCTCTGCGTTGATAGCGATATGGTCCAGGGATCGCTCATCTGTCGCCCTCGGACTGCGTGCTGTATGTCTGGGATGATCAGTAGCGGCTCATCATGAAGTCATCTCACTGCCATCGGGACGATGTCTGTGAGGCTTCATTCTGCGTAGAGGATGGCTTCTTCTTCTACGTCTGCGTTGAGGGGTTGTCCGATGTAGAAGCCAACGTCTTCGAAGTAAAGGCGGACAACATCCCAACGCCCAACCTCCGAGGACACCTCTGGCATGTCACTTGATGGTAGTAAGTCATCTAACAGCAGTAGACAGCTCGTGAGGGACTCAGCCAGTTGTCCATGACTTGGACAGTCACCTGGATTTGTCGGTAGTACGTCTAAGTACAGAGAAAAAAAAATTTATTAATTGAATTTCTATCAAATGCTGATAAATATTACAGCTACAGCTGGAAGTACATGTTGTTGTGCAGCTAGGGCACAGTCAATCCGGGTTTTGCGGACAATTCCGAGAATAAACAGTGCTAAATACGATTAAATATCAAACGATATTGTTGAAGAATACTAACTAAACCTCTATAAAGTAGAATAGAGGAGAGTAATTAAGTAATTAAAGGAAATAGTGCTGAATAGAAGATGCAGGCGCTCTCACAACCTGCCCACAGGGCGAAGGAGAGAGTGAGGCATGTGGGGACGGTGGCGCCACAGTTTCCCGCCTAAACAGCTGGGGAGATAACTCTTGGCAGGAGTGATTTTACGTCTGTTCTTTATTGAAGGGAGCTTCAATAGGAGATACAAGTGTTCCACTAAAGTTCGCAAGAGGAAGGAGACAAGCAATTAAGCATGAGTCAGGATAAGGAAAAATTATATTATTTTTTATGTTCAGAGGGTTATTTTTGTTGTGATTTTCAAGAGTATAAGACGTCATTTGTTCCTTATTTGTTTATGTGTTTCTGCAGCGACAATAAGAAAGTTAAATTACGTGAACTGTTCCCTCTGATAACTGTTTTTATGACATTGTGTTCTTGTATTTTTCATTAAAACACACTCCATTTTAACATGTCTCTCACCGAGTGAAGTGTTCAATTTAAGTTGTTTAATGCACACAGATGTAAGAACAAGGATCTATAAGATAGTAATCATGAATATTCATTAAAGGGAAATTAACTCTGGCAAAACTTTTTTTCATCTGCACTTACATGTTTTACACACACACACTTTGTAATGCTATTGATGTAATGCTTGTGTAACACTTCATTGAATTCTCCCATTATTTGTTATTCATAAATGAAACACAATGCAATGAAACATTCAAGATTTCAATATTTTATTTTTTTATTTATCACTTTTTGAAATGTAAAATTGGTCTGTCATGACCATGGTCCTCCATGGATTTGTATGAGATGACCATGGTCAACCATTTCTTTGTATGAGAAGACCATGGTCTACCATTGGTTTGTCTAAGATGACCATGGTCTACCATGGTTTCTGGTGACCATGGTCCAGTGTTGTGCTGTGAGCGCGGGCTTCCGGGAATCACGCAATAATTTTTCACATGGCGCATAAAATTTCTCACAGCGCGTCCTCATCGGCGCGTCCTATGGAAAGACTTCATTCAAATCATATCACCAGAATCTAACATATATTCCTCACCTGATAAGGATGAGTTTTAACATGTTTTCAACTGGATCTGAACATACTGAAACACATTTTCAACTTCTAAAAATGCCACGCAAAGAAATGTTTCTCGTCGTTAAAACTTAGGGGGAATACGGGCGGAAGTCTTAACCGTCCTATTTCTAAAGAAACCTACCTTCACATAAAGTTGACATTTTATTAATATGCCGAGATTAAAGTTATTTTTTGCCTGCAATACTCGACAAGGGTGCCAGTCAAATCGGCCCAGCGACAAAACGCCCCAGCAAATTTGGTCAAAATGCCCCAGATTTTTGGTCAAAATGGTTTAATATACGCCATAAATGCATAGTTTTTGTCGACTTCCATATTACATTCTTCACATAATAATATGTAGTAATATTTCTGATGAATTTTCTATTAGTAAACTGATAAGAGCAAAAGTAATATTCATGTATAGACAACAATGTAATACCAATTATTTGCATGTTATCAATGCTTTTGAATAAAATGAAAGGTTTGTATAAAATGTTTATTGGCAGTAAATGCATAGTTTTTGTCAGCATGTATGGTATAATACTTATCAAAACAATCTACAGCTGTTGTTGTCAAAAGGTGAGGACGAAAATGCATAGGTTTTGTCAACAAGAATGGTATAATGCTTATGAAAACAACTTAAAGCTATTGTTAATTGTTAATTACGCTTGTCAAAAAGTGAGGCTGTAAATGCATAGGTTTGGTCAACAAGTATGGTATAATGCTTATGAAAACAACTTAAAGCTATTGTTAATTACGCTTGTCAAAAAGTGAGGCCGTAAATGCATAGGTTTGGTCAACAAGTATGGTATACATGTAATACTTATCAAAACAATTTAGAGCTTTTGTTTATTAGTCTTGTCAAAAAGTGTGGATAAAAACAGGCTATCAAAACATGTTCACTAATTGGCATTCAATGCTGTGTTTAGTTAAAGGAAATGATGAGGCTCTGCATTGTATAAATTGATTTTGGTCTAAGGGTAAGCCATTCACTTCTTCCAACTGACAAGATGACCACCAACTGCAGAAAATGTTTTTTGGTAGTAAGTGAGGGCCAAGAGGCAATCTCGTGTGACAAATGTGAAGGCTGGACACACAGACTCTGTGGAACTAGAGTGTCCAAGAAGAAGTATGAGGAAGCGGAGAGGACAGGGACCCCTATACCCTTTACATGCACCTTCTGTAAAGAGACACCGAGGGAAAGCAGTCCCATTGACCACTCCTTTCATGGACGTGTGGAAAGCATGATGACTGAGATAGTGGGGACGGTTACTTTTGATGTCAATCTATCTGCAATCGACAGTGTCCCCAATGAAGATACCCTTCACAGTCGAGACTCGCAAAACCTCTCGGACGTAATTGAAGAAGACATTCAAGAAAGGTAAAAACATTCAATATCTATTACTTCATTTAACCTGTGATACATCACTAATTATCAAATAGTGTAGTAACAAACCACTAAATATTTCTTTGTATGTAAAGGTCAGTGGCAGAAGACAGCATCACTTCTGACGTAGATGACATCCCTGAAGATGCAGGAAACACATGGACTGTCCTAGAAACAGGCACACAGAAGGGCAAGAGAAGACTGGTTGATAGTTATGGGTATATCTATGTTGTAAAGGTTTGTATGTTTGTCAGCTTGGTCATCTCTTTTATGTAAATATATTTTTGTTAATTGTATGTTGTATATTAGCCAGTGGCATTCCTGCATTATTACAGTGACTTTATTGTTTTTCCAGAGAGAGAACATCAAGCAGACTAACTGGAGATGTAGTGTCCGCAACAAGAAGAACAGCTGTCCTGCTACTGTCACTCAGAAGGGAACAAGCTTCACACACAGTGACAAACCTCACAACCATACTGCTAACCCTGGCAAGTTACAAGCATCACAAGTAAGGGTCCAGGTAAGCCCCTTTAGCCTAAACAGCTTAACTGTTCATTTAATTAATTAATTCAATTACCATCAAGAGCTACTGCTCGTTAATCCCAATGTCCAGGAGGCTGTCTGAACAAAATCCAATTTGCCTATATTAACCTTGTTATAAAGGCTATGTTATTTGATCAATATATAAACAAATATTTCATAATGATAAATTTCTATTTATCAGATAAAAGAGGACGCCACAAAGGAATTATTCAAGTCAGCTGCGACTATTGTGGAGGACGCGGTAACAACAATAGTGCAGCCAGATGCTCCAAGTGGAGCTAGAGAGAGCATGGATCAGCTGACAAGGATTGCTAATAGAGCGCGGGAAAGGAATAGACCCAAGGATCCACAGGATTTGGACTTTGAGGTAATCTAACCGTCCTAACTGAAAACTTCCATAAAGTTTGTTTTATATTGTCCTAACTGAATACAACTCAAATGATATCCTATATACTGAAGATTATGAATATGAATATTTGTAAAATTATATTTTCAGATTTCCACCACATTTATCCCCGTGGGCTTCTTGAAAGCAGACCTGACAAACAAGGAACAAAGACACCTTATCCTGGCCACAGACCGTAGCTGTTACAACTGAGCAAGTCCAAACAATGGTTCTTGGATGGAACCTTCAAGGTGGTTAAACGGCCGTTTTACCAACTCCTCTCAGTACATTCCTTCGTGCGGTCAAAGCAGGATGTGAAAATGATGCCGTTAGTTTTTGTAATAATGTCCTCAAGAACAAAATCTGACTATGTCAAAATTTTCAATAAACTGCTTGACCTGCTGCCAGTAGCTCCATCTGTGGAGTCTATTGTCATGGATTTTGAGGCTGCTACATAGGGAGCCCTGAAAATGGTGATGCAAGATGTGAGACTCCGTGGGTGTCTGTTCCACTACACCCAGGCAGTGTGGAGGAGGGTCCAAGAAATAGGACTGACGGTATGTGTATTGTTATTTAAAATGTTGCATATTTGTATGATAATTTGTAATCTTTATTAATTTATGTGAAACAATGTTCTTGTTGGCATACAGAGAAAAGAATCCAGTTTTTCGATTTATTCGGAAACTGATGGCCTTGCCCTTCATCCCTGCTTCAGAGATCCGTCAGACGTTTGAAGAGCTGACTGAGACCGTCACCCCCCAGCAACAAGCTTTGTCAGCTTGTGGGTTACATGAGGACCCAATGGATCTACAAGAGAACATGTCCCCCTTCAAGCCTATCTTGCTTCCGACAGACAACAAGAACAAACAATCACATCGAAGGTAAATATCTTTTAAACATTATTTCTTGCAGCTATTAATTTATAAATGATAACAAATTTAATGTGAATTAATTATGTTGAGCATGACAACATTTCTTTTAAAACTTCCCTGTATGTTTTCAGGGTGGCACCGGCGCCTAAATGCAAAAGTCGGAGAGCAACAGCTGGGACTATACCGTCTTATCAAAGCCCTACATCGGGAGGCGTGTCCCTGCTCCCTATCAAGATCCTCCTGCTGAAGGAGAGCAAGAATCAGGGACAGATCAACCACAGCTCAGGCGGAGATCTTTGCTCTGTGGGCAGAGTTCATGGAGGACCAAATCACAGTCCAGCAGCTCTTGTCAAAAGTTAGCCGCATTCATGGACCAGCCCGACATACAGATGAAAGTTAAAATGAAAAGAAAGACATGATTTCCTTGTTTGAGGAACTTCATGTTCGAGGCTTATAATACCCCAGTGGACAAATCTCTAATTTGTATATATAAGTACTATACACCAAACTTGTTATGATTACACTGTGCCATTTGTTGACAAAAAACTATGCATTTACAACATTTACAATAAACATATTATACAAACCTTTTATTTTATTATTGTAATTCTTTACCAAATAATTGGTATTAAAGTTTTGTCTATACATGAATATTACTAATAATATCACTACATATTATTATGTGAAGAATGTAATATGGAAGTCGACAAAAACTATGCATTTATGGCGCGTATATTAAACCATTTTTAAAAAATTGGGGCATTTTGACTACCCCCCTGGGGCGATTTGACCAAACCTGGGGCGATTTGACCAAAAATCTGGGGCATTTTGACCAAATTTGCTGGGGCGTTTTGTCGCTGGGGCGATTTGACTGGCACCCCTCGACAAACCAACAACACGATGTTTACGCCGCCATTTTGAATGCATTAACTCTTGACCTATCAGATTCGTCGTTGTATATCCATGCGTCAGATTTGCAGTTTATCAGCCAATGAAATAACTTGTTACATATTGGTCGTCAAGCATGGCTGAAAGCAGGCCGCCCAAGCAGCAGATGCGACTAACGTGTTTTTTTAGAAAAGGGAGGGATCAAAATGGAACTCATGAGACAAACAGTCCTTTAAATGAATAAACATTACCACCAGTGCACAAATACCCCCACAAAAACTGACTTGGACGCTGACACGAAGTGGAAACCCAAAGTCCAATCTTACCAGGCCGAATGGGTAAATCAATATTCATGGTTTATTTCTTGTGAATTTTGAGCATGTTCAACCCATCAAAGTTCATGATTGATTCAAACATTAAATGGCAGTGAATTTATTATGTTTTCTGTTCTATTTTCAAATTTTCAGGACCCTCTAAATTTTCTGGTGTCCCTTAAATCATACATGCAGGGGCCCCTTGGGCCCATATTTTACCAAACCTAGGAACAACACTGATGGTCTATGAGGGCTGGTCAATAAGTTCTCAGCCTAACACAGACAACAAACGATTTGGTCAGATTTTAATATAAGATTTTTCCACATATTCACCCTTGATTGCAATGCACTTACATATCGGTGTTTCAGTTGCTCAATTCCATGTGAGTAGAACTCTTCTGGAAGTCCTGTCAAATACTCGTTTACAGCAGATTTGAGCTCATCATTACCGGCATAGCGTTTTCCATTCAGATGTTCCTTCAATTTTGAAATAGGTGCGAGTCGCTTGGGGCCAGGTCAGGTGAATATGGAGGATGAGGAAGTTCTTCAAAGACACATTGATGTACTGCAGACTTTGCCAATCGAGAGGTGTGAGATGAAGCATTGTCATGTAAAATCAGAACTCCAGAACTCCAGCCCTCAACAAACCACGGCGCTTTTCTTTGATAGATGCTCTCAATCTGTGGAGTAGATCAGCGTAGTAGGCACCAGTGATAGTCTTTTGACTCTCCAGGTAGTCAACATGGATGATGCCCTTCGCATCCCAGAACACTGTGGCCATAACTTTCTTCACCGACCTTGAAGACTTGAACTTCTTGGGTGGAGGAGAAGTGGGGTGGCGCCACTCCATGGATTGATGTTTTGACTCCGGATCATAATGATAAATCCCCTGTTACTAATCTACTTTTAAAATTTTCAAAATCATGCTCCATCAATTCTCCATGGTTTAGACCGGTATGTTGTTCAACTTCAGCAATAGTCACACGTCAGTCTGCAAGAAGACATTTCTCCACAGCTTCTACTGTTTCTTCATTAATGGTTGTAGAGGGCCGTCCACACTGTGGGTCATCATCCAGACATGTCCTGCCAGACTTGAATAAAGCAGCCCATCCCTTAACTGTGGGGTATTAAGGACAATCATCCCCATACACCTTCAACATACGTGCATGCACTTGTGCTGGCTGAATGCCTTCCAGTGTCAAAAACTTGATAACAGCATAGGCCCAGATAAGCTGCGTATCCGGGTAAAATATGCATAGAATTACGCATTGAAAAATAATTGTTGCGTACCAATTACGCATTTAAAATGTTAGATACGAAAAAAGTTTAAAACAAATGCATACGGAATATATTTATTAAAATCACTTGCACAATGAAAAAGACATTGATTGATATCAAGTTGTACTGTTAGTATAGGACTAGTGTTGTACTATCAGTACAGGATGGGTGATTTTTTATGAAATCATTTCCATTATATTTAAGTTGGTTTTGATTAGGTATGACATAAGGCAGAACATATCTGCTTAGTAAACTTACTCAGTCACATAATACTAAGGTGAGTACAATGACTGTAATACGCACATATTTGAAAGCAGTGGGTAACGGAAAATGAAATACCCACTCAACTAATACCCACTCCAAAAAAATACAGTGTGTACAGAACCCACATGAGCTAAATCTTATCTGGAGCTCTGTAAGAGCACTGTGTTCCATCTCTCACGTTGAAGCAGATATGTATACCCCAGTAGGCTTCAAGGACCTGCTGCTTTCGAACTAGTTGATCTATTTGAGTAAAATGACTGGAAATGCTGATGAAGAACACTGTCCAACAACACTCCTAACATTAGTTAGTGTCACCAGTCTAGAAGTTATGTAGGCTTAGAACTTTTTGACCATCCCTCGTATATGGTTAACATGGTTAATATATTTGTAAACAATTTTCATTTGGATATAGTTAGAGTTTGACATCCTGTCATCACAATATTTTTTAATCAAATATGAATTGATTATATTATTGAATAAGAGACTCTTTCCATGCATATTCTAAAGGTATTGAGCCATTGCAAGGAATGAATAGACAGCTTGATGTTCGAAAATTTCAGAATTTTTCATTGTTTACATTTCAAACAAGCTCAGTCTTTCGAGCACAGCATTCATTTTCACACCCAATTTGTTTCGTCTCATTTTATCTAGACAGTTGGTATTGGTGACAAAGACCAGTTGCAATTTGATTGTAAAATGTATGGGGAATTCAGTGATGCACTTTCCGAAGCTGAATATGAAATATATTTGATGTAATGCATTCATGTAAGTGGATTTTTGAAAACATCCCAATTGATTCTAGGTTGATCTTCAACGTTTCAGAATTATCATTGGTGATTTTATCATGGAATAATAATTCATCCAAAATTCATTATTCTTTATTACCACTACAAGCAATATATTAGAATTCAGATATTAGAAAAATATAAATATAGAATATTAGTAATAGCTTAGAGAAAGACTGTAGTCAAAAGTTATCTCACAGACATACTATTTGTCCAGGAGGAGGCAGCTGAAAAATTTCAAATCGTAGCCTCCCCAGTACTGATTTTGTTTGACACTATTTTCAGTTAGTATGATGTCTTGGGCTCATGAAAAGGCCTATAATACTCTCAGATTGTGGTATCAGGTTTTTTTTACAGGCCATTATACGTGGTGGGGGTCTGGGGGCATTTTCGTCACATTTGGTTTGCTGCCCGACAACACCTCAAAGTTAATCATTAATAGTTTTACTACTATCAATCTGATCACTTTCATTTTGACTTCTGTGTACTGCTAAAGGATGTAGAAATTATTTGACATAATTTTGTTTTGTAAAAAAATCAAAATGGCCGCCATTATGGCCGCCATTTTGTTTTGTCGTGTTTTGCCTTCTCAGCACTTAAATCTACATAAAATGAACACCGAATGTTTCCATTTACATCCAAAGTTGATACTTTTGATGTGTTTTGACACTTGTTTCTCCTAGACTGATGGCTTGGGCACAAAACAAGTCATTTTGTATGGTCATAGCATGGTAATTTAATGTTTTACAGCTTATTGTTTGAGACAGGGGTATTTTGGCATTTCTCAGACTTTTCATGGAAATGTGTGAGGGTGATTTATTTAATGGCAGTTAACATTATTTTTGTTACTAAAACAAGTTGTTTTTGTTTTCTCTTTACTTCTAGAGTGACGGCATGTTATTAGGAATGTTTACATATTACCCAGAATTCAAAATGGCCGCCATTGTAGTTTAACTACATATACTTAGTGGAGGACTAAATTTGTACTGATATGAAATCCAAACAAATCATTTGGTGTCTAATGTTTAATACAGTATAGGAATAGAGCTAAATTTCTATGATAGGGTCAATCAAAGCTTCACTCTCCTAAAATATTTGATGAAATAACATTATCCAAAAGTGTTTGAAAACTATGCTTCATGGCCGATAACTACGTCTAAGCTTTGGTTGTAGGTATTCAAATTGTTCTATCAGATAACTCTTAATCACTTTTGATACATCCATAAGCTTGCAATTAACCCTCCTTTTCACTTTCTTTCATTTCATATGTTACTTCATGTCACAATTGGACCTGTGAAGATCCGGGTTAGAATGGACCTTCAATAACCCATGCTTGTCGTAAGAGGCGACTAACGGGATCGGGTTGTCAACTGGGTTGACACATGTCATCGTATCTCAATTGCACAGATTGATGTTCATGCTGTTGATCCCTGGGTTGTCTGGTCCAGACACGATTATTTACAGACTGTCGCCATATAGCTCGAATATAACAGAGTGCGTAAAATTAAACTCACTCGCTCACTCATGTCAGAATCGGAGTCAACAAGTCAAATATGTTCGGGCAACAATAATCTGCCATATAAATAGACATGTCTCTGTGCACACTATATCATTCTTTCTGCTGGCATGCTGACTTTTTGCATTTACACGATGTCAGTTCAACAGATCAGAATAGCTGACCATCACAAATGCTCCAACCATGGTCAACTGGTGAAGGG